TTCTGGCAAAAAAAAGTTGTAAATCATTGACATATGAACAGGGGTGGGTTCTACTTACCTCTACTACGGGTTCGCAATGGGAGCGTGCATGCAGAAGCTTCTGCGCATGCGCAGATCTTCATTTATGATGTCTGGGTGGGTGGGCAGAGCCTCCCACCGCTTTTACTACCGGTTCTAAAGAACCGGACAGAACCGGGAGCAACCCACCATTGCATATGACCCAGGGCACTACAAACAGCAATAAATGCAGGCCAGTTACCAAGTGTCCAAACTATGTTCACATGATCGTGGGAGGGACAAGACAGAACTTTAAAACCAGGTCATAAGTATCTTTTGGAGGGTCCATCATAAATTTGAATGGCTATATAAATATAACTAATAAATAAAATAAATTCTATGCTCTAAAAAACTACTTAAGAATTAGGGATTAGAAAGTAAATTAAACTTTGCCCTTTGATATAAATCTACCATATTTTCACTTTACAAATCAGTATATGAATTTTGCAATTTTCTAAAACTATATACCAAAATCCATATACCAGGAATGATATTTACAAGAAATACATCTATAACATTATGGTTAAAAATACAAAAAAGTACTATGCAACAAAATTAATGATGTATTGAAGCATCTACACAGATACACAGACAAACACATATATAAAACATAATGAATATGAAATATGTACAAATTTTAAAATGTACTTCTAAAAATGATGTAAAATATATGGAAGAAATGAAGAAAGTGACATATTTTTCTATCTCTAGCAGCACTATTTCTCACTTTCAATCCTTCCTGCATATCATTTCATATGAAAGCAAATCTTTATCAAGATAATATAAAGGATAGGTATACTGAACATTTGATTACAAAATCACCCCATGCTGAAGCTATACTGTAAATGAGCATATTTATTGATCTATAGGAACAGTTACTCCTGAAGTATACCTCCTCTATACCTTTTCATCATCATCTCCCTACAAGCTTTTAGTATGCTTTCCACCATTTTTCATTGCCACCATACTTTTATTTCTTAATATAAGACGTGAAAGAAATTATTAAATACATAAGGAGAAAGCTTATTATTTAAAATCTTCAACCACTCATCAAAAGGCCACAGATGGAATTCTATAATGTTTTCACTTTCTATAATTTAAGAATTAGTACTTCGTTCTCAAGAGATGATTGGGAATCTTTTCTTCCACATTCATATCCAGAAAAAACAGTTGTATGGGCTTCACACCTTACATTGATCCCACATCAGTTGTGGCCAAAATATACATGTTTATCTTCTGACCATTGCCATGTCAAAATTTCACACACAACATCGAAGTGTTAATGCCTAGAACATGGAAGCATAATTTTTCTTTTTCCAAAATACTGTCCATCAAATATGAACTGATAGGAAAAGTAAGAACATTGAACACATAACTGTGAACACAAAGCTTGTCCTAATTGAGGCACACAAACTAAAAAAATTCAGTAATGATCAAAAGGGTTTGATCAAATGAATGCCATTCAACCAAGATCTAGGTGCACCATGATAGAACATACCTAACTATGTTATAAGCTATAATGCTTTTCTATGAGATATACAGTACTTATTGAGATAATTTTCTTTTAAAGATCAGACCTGCACCAAATAGTCAGCCCTTGCCTACATGAAATTACTTAGCCTACTGGAGGCCATGAGATCAGTAATGATTTTCAGCTAAGTCTCTCAAAGGTGATTCAAAAATCAAATAATGGTGTAACTTGTGTCTCTTTCAGCTTCTTGAAAATGCTAGAGTTGATGTGAAGCCTAATTTTTCCATAGAAACAGAAAATCTTGAAGGAAGAATAAAGCATCCCCAGGTCTTGTACTGTCTCCTTTTGCATTTGCTTGCAGTTATTTTATAAGTGACTAACTGGACGCCTGTGCTTCGCTACGAAACTATGTGATTGGGCATGATAAATTGACACTTGCAGCGTGAAACTTAATGTAGAACGTGTAACCCCATAGCATCAGAGTGTGTTAATATAAGGCAACTGGCAGTTGGAACAGAGGGGGATGGGGAGTAAAATGTCCCAGCCCGCAGGCCGGATGAGTTACGTGCTGGCCGGGTTTAATGATGGGGCAGCATCACAGCGTGTTAATATAAGGCAACTGGCAGTTGGGACAGAGTTCCTTTCAGGTGGGGAGTGGGAGTAGAATGTCTAACTCCTTAGCATCAGAGTGTGTGAATATAATACTGTATATGAAATACTAATGATCTGATGGTCATTTCAAAAAATTCTTCTTAGCGAGCATCTAGAAGTCAAGAGGAACATATGTGCCAAATTTCAAGTTTGTAGGCTTTACCGTTCTGGAGATTTCGTGATGAGTGAGTGGTATTTGGCTTTTATATATATAGATTGATCTCATTAACTGTATAAGGCAACTGGAGGTACCTTTTTTCTTTTATTAAATAATATGAACAGCTTAGGGAACTTAGTTTGTGCCTTAGGGAAGCACAGCAGAGCTGGGAATCCTTTTTAGAATTACTCCACAACTATGGAGAAGGATACATTTTACTGAAATACCATCACATCTGCATCTTCTTGGAAAGTTTGCACAGTAAACAAAAAGCCAAAAATCTTTATTAAAAAGATGATGTGTCATCCTTGCATCCCCTCAGTATCCAAGTTAGCACCAAATTTTGCTCCTACATCATCCCAAACAGATGAGGCAGAAAATGGCAAACCATCGGAACTGCTGCCTAGCTGACACCACTTGATGTCACCTGATCAAAGAGACAGATGAGAGATTACATTGAGGGATGATGTAAGGAACAAGACATTTAGCTGCCTCAGTTTATATACTAAATCAATTTAGAGGCACTGAGCCAAAGCAGAATGTTGGTTCCAACTTCGGTGTTCAGATATTGCACACAAAAAAGCATGCAGGTAGGAGACAGGCAAACTTGTGGCAAGAAGAGGCATCCTTAAATACAATGCTTGGCAAGTGGCTAGCCAATTGGAGGTCATTACCTGAAGATGCTCAGCTAACATCTAAATCTATGCTTGCAAATTAGGAGTGAGGAACTAAACCAACAAAACTGACCCCATCATTATTGTATCCTCAAGAAGAGCAAGAAAAAGTAAGCAAGAACTAAGAAATGAGATTCATTATTAAAAAAAAACATTAAGAATTAAGTCCTATTAAATTCAACTAGACTTCTAATAAGTGGGCATATGATTGCACTCAATTTCATAAATTTGGGAGCCTTTGAAGTAAGCAGTCCTGTAATGAAGTCAATTCCTCTAAAAAGAAATAGCTAAAAGAGAGAACAAAGAGGGGAGAGGGGTTAAAGCCTATATTTTAAAGAAGGAGAAGAGGGGGGAAAGCACATCCAGCATGTACTCTCTGTCAGCAATACTCCTGTGGCTACCCTTTTTTTTTAATACAGTATGTAGATTATTATTTTTCACTGGAAAAGCACAATAAACCAAATTATTTGACACTGTAATTTTTGGCAAGTTTTCCAGCAAAATTTCAGTCTGCCCACCACACTACTAAGATAATGTCTGTTACTTTATGTTTTTATTGATGCCATAGAAATACTATGACAACACACTTATAAAATAGAAACCTTACATATTTAGGGGATAAAAGAAGGTTTTTCCACTTGCAACATACTATTACAAATATATAAAATCAATGCCTGGATATGTAAAAATGTTAAAACTGTAATGTAAAAACTGAAGTCAACATTTCTTTAAAATGGACAATATGTCTGTGCATAGTAGATTAGTAGATACATATATAATATTTCAAAGGGATACTTGTAGAATTGATTATGTTATCCATATAAATAATCAAATAGTATAACATTTACCTCAGAAGTCAAAATCCTCTTCATCATAAACACATACTTTACTGTAGAATCTAAATAGCTGTGACTACATTTTGAAATGTTCTTCGTTTTGTATCACATTAATGGACTTATAAGAAAAAAATAGACTAATGTTAATAAGAATTTTCAGCTAGCACGAACAGTCTGTCTTGAGAGGGATGGTGTCCTCTAAATTCAGGATTTAAAGTATCTGGCAATCAGGTCCTTCCTATCCTATGATTCTATGGAAGCTTTTCTACTTCAAAGCTTTTCTTACTGCTTCTTCTCCATTTCCCAAACATATACCACAACAAGGAACTTTTATCATTGTTATCGACATGCTGTGGAATGGAATCACAGTCATTTTAAACTTCAAATCAGAAGTTCTCAAACAGAACCATTTAGAGAGAGATGCTGCATTTTTCCAATGTTAATATTGTGTGCTGATACATGAGCAGAGCTGAAGGCCTTTAGAAATTAGATTTTAAAGATCATGCCAAACATTTTCCCAAAGTTGGAGGGCAGATAACTCTGCTAACATGAAGAAAAGATACCTCTGTTAAAACAATAAAATATCTGGCTGTACAAAAATCAACTAACTGTATCAATTAACTAATAGCAATTACGTTAAAAGTTAAATCAGAAAACAGCAGCATCTATACTTAACAAAGATTTTTTTTAAGGCAAACTAATCAAGAAGCCTTATTGGGAAAAACTTGTATATTTATATCCAAAAAAAAAAAAAGAACTATTAAGCTTGCTGCTTTCTTATTCATTATATTCAAGCATACAACTTAGCCATGGTTTAGTACAGACAAAATTATAGCACTCTGATTCTGCTGAAAGGAGGAACTGGAAAGTCTTGCTTTCATTTTAGATAAACTGTGAATTGATGTGTTCTCCAAATTCAAAATAACAGTTCATGAATCTGGCTTGTTTTCTTTAACCTTACCCAAGGTTAACCAAAAAACCATCTCAAGAAAAAATAAGGTGAATCTGGCAGAGACGGGAATCATTTATAAATAGAAGCTAATATAATTTAGTATAATAATCAAACCAATCCACCGTACAATCTCAAAAAGATCATAGATAAGGAAAGCTGCCCTAAATGATGACTCAAAATGTACCACCCCTTCGGGACATACCATCCTATGCTGAGTTGAGATAACACTGTTCCAGTCTGAGTCTGGTTGGATTGTAGTGACTAGAGCTGGGAGCTCTTCAGAGTGAGGTTTGTTGTGCAATATGGTGTGCAGAGGCAGATGGGAAGTGACAAGTTCTTCATTGTTGTCGTCTTCCTGCTCCTGTGATGCTAAGTCCTGGGTTGTTGTTCCCTCTCCATCAGATGCAAATGGAGAGGTGGCCTGCTTGGAAGACATTCTTCTACAAAATAAGCAAAGGAAATACATAGACGCTTTTTATTAAATAGAAAGATAAGATTGTAAACTTAACAATGCATTGTGAGGCTGAGAAATATGCAAATTGTAGCCTGCTTATCACGGTGAAAAGATGACCGACTAAGAGCTTGTTGAGGCAATGTTATCACAATAAAGCATACATTTTATGGCAAATTTGTTGTTGAGAGAAGTTGAGGTCAAGTTAAGGCATGGAAATAGCTTTTTTTTCTATCCTATGTAGCACTAGATTTCCCATCTGGAACAAATTCATAATTCATGGAGAAGCCTTTAAAGTTGGCAACATTTGGAGCTCCAACTGGCCACTTCAGGTTATGAGATTCTGTACCTCCATGGCCATTTGTGCTGATACCACACCCATTTCCTTTTGCAGGGAAGGGAGACAGGAAATTCGGAATTCAGAGATGAGATTGCTGACCTTATGTAAATCTTCATAATGTTCCAAAGGTGCCTTTTTCAAGAAGCAACTGGACTTTCTGGTTTTTCTTTGAAGATGTTTCACTTCTCATCCAAGAAGCTTCTCCAGTTCTGACTAGATGGTGGGGAAATTGAAGGATTTATCTTGTACTGACAGGTTTGTTAGGAGAACAAATATAGGAGAACAAACCCATCAAGATAAGATTCAGCAGTCCATCGTTATTTAAAACACAAAGGCCATTCTTTTGAAGACAGCAAAGTCCACATTTTGGACAAAGAGGCCCACTGGTTTGAAAGAGGGGTCAAAGTGGCCATCTGTGTCAAAATTGAACAGTCCTCTCTCAACAGAGGGAGAGGAATACGACATCATCTATCTTTAGTCTACAACACAGTCCTTTCAACAATTCCAAGAACGCTCCAAATCCATTTGCACTACTCAGGTGACCCTGAAGACACAGATATACCTCCAGGTGGCCTCAACGACTCTCTAAAAGAAAGCAAATGACTAGTTGTCTTCAAGGAATATAAATCCTTCCATTCTTCACCATCCAGTCAGAGCTGAAGAAGCTTCTTGAATGAGAAGTGAAATGTCTTCAAAGGAAAAAAAAGAAAGTCCAGTTGCCTCTTGACAGGGACAACCATGTGCTGGGTGACTGAGAATTTCCATAGGCAGTCATCTTCAGAGTTTTAAAGAAGTCATGGTCCCTATCTATGCATAAATTAAAGTCTGTAGATACTTCTGCCAATCAGCATTAAATAGCACACAGAAGATCCTATCGCTTACATTGCTATTTAAGATGATTTCCTTCCTAAAGGGAAAATAATTGTAATATATGAATCAGCTAATGAACATAGTCAGACAGATGTTTGCTGCAACTGTAGTAAGCTATTCTAGCCAATTTTTTGAATGCTTACTTTTATTGATGGTACTTTTCTTCAAGGGTCTGAAAATCACTTTTTAAAAAAGTTCTATCCATCAGAATATCAACAGTGGTTTCCAGCTCCTGGAAGAAGAGAGACAGCAATTCCAACAGGTTTCCAAATTTGATCAAGACAACTACAAAAATTCTTGCCATTGGTTTTATGCTGATTTTGGAAAAATAAAATATTTGTGAGTTTTGCCCCTCAAATGATGGCTCAATCATCAAAGTAACCTCTGTTCATTAAAACTCTTTTTTTCCTAGGGAAAATATTTCCCAACCTGCCCCCAATCCAGAGGGTAGGGCCATTATAGTGTGATTATAGTCTGTTAACAAAGTTCTGAATATTAATGCAGAAAAGTGACATAATGCTATGTGTATCTTACTGAATAATGTATAGCTTGAGTGGTGTTTCAGAGTTATACAGGGTATCAATTTTTTACTATTATATATTTCAAACAAGGGGCATAACATTTGAAATACAATTAAATAAAAAGAAATATTAAAAATATCTCTATAATATCTGTTAATATCTCCACTATATATATTTAACTTTTTGGTCTTAATCTTTAAACCTTTTCCACTGGAATAGAATCAATATAATGCTAATAAAATATAAATTATTACAGTAAAAATTGAAATGTTGTAGAGATTCTAAATTTTCTAAAATCTCAAGATATATCATTTTTGCTAAAACTGTTTCAACAACTCTAGAATGAGGTCTCCACCTTAATTACTCTTTAATAATAATTGATTTCATACAATTTCCTTTAAAATGCGCAAATCAGTTAACAAGGGAAACCACATGAGCATTTTCCAAATTAGCAAATCATTAACTCAGTAGTACTGTTTCTATAGACAAATAATTACTGATTAAGGAGCCTGGAAATCTGAGAGTAATAGTTAAATTTACAAATCTGACACATGCTTTCATGAATATTACAGTGAAAGAAATATCAAGTGTAAAAAATAATAATAATTAAGTTAATTCCAATTTAAACAGTAGGTTTTAATGTAGCAGACCAACTTTCACATAGGATTTAACAGCTACTATTAAATTTCTCACTGTTAATGAGAAGACTCAGATTTAGTATCCTACATGAAAAAATAATAATGAACCATCTAATATTATTTATTTTTAAATGAAAGCATTATATATTTCCTGAATAAGTTTGCAATATATAACAATATCAATGTAGAGCAAAAGAAAAAAAATCCCTTATAAATAATTATAATGATGTTTAGTCTGACATCTCTGCCATGAGAATTAGTTACATAGAAGTATCATTTAAGATGCTACATTAAAAGTGACTTGCAATATAAACAACTAAGAAGCTGATTCCTGAATATTACGTACATTTCAAAACCAAAAAACAACTGTTGTCAAAGAAGAGCATGGTCTAATTGTAATATAGGTATTGCACACAAATAAGTCATAACAAATATTTAGAATCAGGGTGCAAGAAGAAATACTTTATTTCAAAGACAATAAACAGACTATACCCATGCCTTATTCTGCACACTGAAATTGTGAATATATTGTCAGAGATTTAATACAAAGGTGCCTTTAAAACAGTTCTTTGGAAGATGATTCTATTCACTTGAGTCTTTGCAGACATCTTCCAATTACAAACAGGACTGACGTCTTCCAGAAGGAATACATTTTGGCTGCATTTTTCAGTTTAAATTAATCATGACACAAACCCAGAAATGAAAATGTCTCATAAGAATAATTCCAACTACAAACTGCACCAATGAATAACAGTGCACAAACCTAATTATATGCAACTGTGCAGCTGCAAAAATAGGTTAAATCTGTCTAAAGCACTGAGATGATTTTTAAAGGCTGGTTTGTTAGGCAGTGTTTTCTTAAGAAAGGCCGGGCCCTCAGTCCTAATCAGCCAATAAATTATTTCCTGCAATTATATTAAATAGAAAATTATCTTCAAATTGGGAATGTTAATTGAAAATCAAAATTCAGAGTGAAGTTTAGAAATTACATGCTGAATATAATTAGCCTGGAAAGACTTCACCTGTTTCATAAACAGGCTTCGGGTAATTCCTCAAGTGACCATTCTGGGGGAAAGGGGGGGGACGCTATTCTCTCAAAACAACCAATACAGCAGATAGAGCCATCATCCATCCATCTTTCTTTCCTTCCTTCTGCCATTTTTTAATTTGTTCATAAACAGAATACCCAATGTTGGTATCACCGGAGAAGTGTTAAGGACAACATAAATATGCTTTATAGGCTGTGAAATTTGCTTTAACAAGAAAAAAATAATAATTTTATTGCAGCTGAGCTTGCTATTACCCAGGTATGTTTACAGAGTAGAAGTACTGTACATTCATACCTTCTCTATTTAAAAACTTCAGAGGAAAGAAGCACTAGATCCTGAACTATTTTAGTTTCTTTATTCATAACCTTCAACCTCAATTCAAAACTTTTTGCTCCAACCAGCAAAAACTGCCCCATTTTATGAAAATGAGAATCAGGTTATTTGAAGGACCATCTTCTCCCAATCACATCTACTTGATCTATCAGAACAGAGAGGCAAGCAATGCTATGGATCCTCTTTCCTTGGGAAGTACATCTAGTTAGACCAAGAAGAAGGGCCTTCTCCATGCTGCTTCCTTCCTGTGGAACATCATCCCCACAGAAATAAGATAGGCACCTACTCTTTTGCAGCACCCTTAAGACCTGGTTTTGCTAATGGGCCTGGTGAACCCAGAGTGGGATAAAGGCCATCAAGTGGCTTGTTTGATCAATTGTTTTTACCAGGGAGATGGGATGTTATCACTTTTTGTTTTTTTATATGAAATTTGTATCTTTGTAAGCCACCCAGAGTCACTGAGAATGAGCTCGGGGGCCATATAAATTTTCTTAAATAAATAAATAGATAAAATAAAAGTAATTTAATTGCAATTCAGAGGTGGATTCAGAATATAAATTCTGGGATGAATAGACAAGCAGTTATCTTTCCACTCCCATTTCCATGCCTTGTCACAAAAGTTACCCAAAAAGTAGTTACTTTAGCATTTTACTAAAAGCAAAAGTCTAGTTTTCATTTGTTCTGTTTTAACTTTCTTTTTCACTTTTAAAGCAGATAAAATTAACCTTTCCCTATGAAAGGGAGGATACAAAACAATAGAACAGACAGTCCTCAACTTAAAATCACAATTGGGATCAGAATTTCGTTACTAAGCAAGGTGCTTGTTCAATGAGTCGCGCTGATTTTACAACCTTTTTTTCACATGGTTATTAAGTGAATCGCTACAGTTGTTAAGTGAATCAAGCAGTCGTTAAACAGATCCAGGTTGCTACCTTGCCTTTCTTGTCAAAAGTTGGCTAGAAAAGTTGCAAATGGCAATCTTCAAAGCCAGAGGCTGCAACTGTTATGAATGCATGCTGGTTGCCAAGAGCCCAAGTTTTGATCATGTGACCATGAGATGCTACAATGGTTCTAAGTAAGAGAACTGGTTGCAAGTCACTTTTTTCAGTGCTGTTGTAATTTCAAATGGTTGCTAAATAAATGGTTGTAAGTCAAGGACTATTTGTAGTTATTGCTGCCATAAATAATAATCTAATATTGCTGTTAATCCTTATCCTTATTTTAACGGAAAAACTAAA